CACCAGGGTCAAATTTTGAACTATATAGTTTGACATATGGGATCAGGCTCCCTTAACTAGTAGGCCATGTGTCTGGTCCTACTTGTCATAACTAATGAGCCAATATCAATACATTATTATTTTTATTAAGAATTATTTTATTCAACTGTATTCATGATTATTATTATTTTTTAAATTTGATCAGTGAGAGAGAGGGAAAGTGAGAAAGCAAACTGCTGGGTCTAGGACTTGAACTGTGGCCAGATATTTGGGAGTCCAGAGCCTTTAACCACTATGCCACCTGCCGGCCCCAATACATTATTATTAATAGTTTATTTAGGTTTATTAATAGTTCATTTAGATTTCCTTCCTTTTTTATCAGATGTCATTTTTTTATTCCTTAGTTTTTACTGAATGTCATTTTTGTTACTGAATTCTATGCAGCTTATCCCTCTACATTTAATTTTCATGCATCCTTAGGTTTTTCTAGGCTGTGACAGTTTCTCAGACTGTTTTTGATGACCTTGACAGTTTTGAAGAGTACCAGTCAGGTATTTTGCAGACTATTGCTCAGTGGAATTTTTCTGATGTTTTTCTCACAATTAGACAGGAGATACAGGTTTTCAACAGGAAGATCACAGAGATAAAAGTGTCATTCTCATCACAATCACATCAAGGGTACATACCATCAACATGACTTATTAGTGTTGATTCTGACCCAGTGTTGATTCTGATCACCTGGATAAGGCGGTGCTTGTCAGGTGTCTCCACTACAAAGTTACTCTCCACTTCCCTTCCCACTTTCCATACTACACACTATGAAAAGAAGTTACTCTGCACCGCCCACGCTTAAGGAGTGGGGAGCCAAGCCCTACCTTCTTAACGACAGTATCTATAGAAATGATTTGGAATTGTTCTCAGTATAGCCTTCCATAAACAGATTCTATCTACCTTTTTAGCTTCAGCCCCTGCTGCTTGCTCTCTCCCACTGTAGGCTCATCATACTGCAAATCAGCAGCTGCAGACCCTGCACAGTGCCATCCTGACTTGTCTCTCTGCTCTTGCTATTGTTACTTTCTAGGCATAGACATCCCTTCTCTCTCTCCCTCTCTCTCTCTCTCTCTCTCTCTCACAGTCAAATCTCCCTTTGATATTCAGGACAACTAAGGTATCACCCGTTCTAGGAAGTCTTCCCAGGACCCCCTCTGCAGTAGGGGGCTTCCCTCTGAGTACCAAATTAACCAATGCATGCCTCCATGATGGCATTCATTCCTCTCTACTGTCCATTCTCAACACTCTCCCCTGTTAGGTTGAAGTTCTTCCAGAACAGGACTCTCTTTTTACTTGCTTTTGTACTTCTTGTGCCTGTACAGTGTTTACATGAGGTGCTTAGCAAATATTGTTTGCATGAATGAGTGGACTAAAACACTTTCAGAATTCCAGATATGAGATTTCTTCTCAGAATTTCCAGTCTTTCTGTCTTGTCAACAATTGTCTGGTTTTTGCCTTAGAGTATGGCTGTTCGTTGCTTCTCTTATTCATTTTAGTAGATCCAATGATTTTTGAGGCCCAAGATCATATTTTGTTTGTCCTGCAGTTTCTACTTCAGTGTCCTCGCATAATCGGTGTTTAACAAATCTCTGTTGAATGAGTGGATGAGTTAATGAACAAATAAATGCAGCTGCTGCAAACGTAATCCATGACAGTGAATCACACCAGGAAAGGAGGTATAATGGACTGGAAAATAAACAATGGAATTTTCAAACTAAATGAAATTGCCTTGTAATACCTCCTACCACATTACTTCTAAAATTTTACCATGCATAAATACATACTGCAAAATTTGTATTTGAGTAGAGATGTAAAACATAACTCTATTCTAAATGAAAAAGCTATTCTGATGGCTTTTTTTTTTTTTCTTTTTGGAGAGGTTTTCGCTATAGGGTGCATGTGCTCACCAGAAAGACAGAGAGGCAGAGAGACAGAAAGTGAGAAATCACCCCCCCAGGAGGGATGGCCTTGCTGCAGTCCCTTCTTCTCCATTCTCCTCTCGGGATCTTGGGCACGCACCCACATGCACCTGGCGTGGGTTCAAGCCATTGGGTCCGGGACTTGAACCACAATCAACCACACGGGAGTCCAGCGACATAGCCATTAAGCCAACTGCTGGTCCCCTGACTGCTCCTTAATAACAGAAAGGACAGTCGAACCTGACTCAACTTTTAGGTGAAGCTTCCCACAAAAAGATACACCCTGTTGATCTTAAACATCACTGACTGTTGGGCCAGCAGGTGTGGTAGTTAAGGCACCTGGATGCTCCAAGGCTGACAGCATGGTTCAAGTCCCAGACCCAGGGCCTTGAAAATCATGCCAGGCACTTGTGCATGTATGCCCAAAATCTTGAAAGGAGAATGTAAGAGAAGGAGCTACAATGTGACCATCCCCATAGAGGGTGATCTCTCACTTCCTGCCTCCCTCTGGGTGTGTGTGTCTCTGGTAAGTGCAGGTGCCCTATAACAAACCAAAAAAAAAAAAAAATGCTGACTGTTGTGTAATACAAGATATGTTCCTTTCTCCACTTTAAAAATTAAAAGAACTTACATGCAAAAAATTTTTTAATTGCTAGAGGGTGCATACATTCAGGAGAGACAGAGAGACAGAGACAGAGAGAACGAAAGAGAGAAAACACTACTTCTTGAGACATATTCATGCCGTAATCCCTCCTCTTTCCATTTCTCCATCTTATGGGGACCTTGGGCACAAATGTGCTTGTGCTTGGCATGTTTCTCAAGCCACCTAGCCAGGATTCAAACAACAATAGCCATGTGGGATCTGGCTCCCTTAATCCCTAGGCTATGGGGCTGGCCCACATACAATATTTTTTCTTAAATAGCATTTTTCTGTATCTATCTCTATTAAAATATAATTTTTCTAAATGTTTTATGCTGGGCAGACATGAACAGAAAACAACCACTCTGAAAGAGGAAAAATAAATTCCTTATAGCAAGATAGATTACCATTATCATCACCACTAAGTCTGACTGCAGTACAAGAACTTCATTAGAGGACGTTGAATTAGTAGGGAATTTCTTTTTCTCTCACCAAAAAAGTAAGTTTTATGGATAGTTCCCAATTAGCATCTGTCAAAAACAACCTGTAGAGGGCGTCCTTGCACCAAGAGCCATGGAGGTTTCAGCAGTACTAACGGAAAAAATCTTCAATTAAAACCACAAGCCCAAAGCAAAGAAAATGTCTATTGTGCTGTGAAATTATCTTTAACTGGGTGACACAGGCATTTCAATGTCCAAGTATTTTAAAGGTTGCTTAATGTATGAATACATTATATACACAATTATTCACCGAAACAAAAAAATGATAAAATATTTGGAAAACAAGTAAACGTTTGTATTGAAAGAGAATGGTTGCGAAGCTTTGGGTTCATATATGATTTGGATTCATATATGAATCCATTATGATTTACTTATTAGTATGATGCATAGTGGTTAAGAGAATGAAATTGGAGCACCTGGCATTTGAACCTGACTCTCACTTACTAGCTGGACTCTCACAGTTAGCTTACAATTTTGGAGCCTTTTTTGGCCGCCTGTAAAATAAGAATACTAAAAGGATCTACCTAAAAGAATTGTGAGGATTAAGCAAGCACTTAAAGAAAAAATACTTTAAAAATTAAGACACCCCCCCAAAAAAATTAAGACACCCCATGTGCAATTCAGTCATAATTATACTTCCTATCTAATTTTCTTTTTCCTTTTTTTCCCTATCAGTTGTATTGATGAAAATATTTAATGATTGGCGAGGTAACTTCTCATGACCTAACATTTATTTAACTTAACGCAGGCACGTGTCCAGCCTCTGTTTTGTCGTTTCTGTTTATTTTTCTTGAGGCGAGATGCTACTCACTACTCTACAAAGGACTGAGTGAAACACCATGCGCAGCCCGGGACACTCCATCTTTGGGGCATTTGTCGCAGCATCTGGGTGCTAAAGAACAAAGAGAAGCAAACAAACCTTTACCGAGTCTGAATGCTTTCTAAGTTTTCTCTGCACATCCAAGGAATTTGGCAGGAGGCAAAAACAAGTCATTTCCGCCGGGGTCGGGTGGATCAACCGATGGCGTTGTAGTCGGGTTGGGTGGATCAACTAGTGGCGTTGTAGTCGGGTTGGGTGGATCAACCGGTTGTCCCCTGCCCCCCGGTTGCCCCGCGACCGCCTAGGATTTCAGGAACTGAACGCGTGCCTCCAACTTTCTTAAAACACCAGCAAATATGAAGAAATTAACTTTAGGGAGCCCTACTGCAGGGCTCCTGTAGCGTCAGGACCCAGGGAATTCTTCCAGGCTCTGCAGGCTTATCAGGGAGACAAACTCCCTAACTGTTGGGTGCCTGCAAGGACCGACTCAAAGCCCTGCTGGGCGGTGTAGCCTAGCGCCTGAAAATCAGCTCCTCTGGCCAGTTGAGTCTCGGGTTTAACTGGATCGCAACGCGCAGAGGGCGGCGTAGCGCGGCCCAGAGGAGATAGGTTTGCAGCCAGAGGACTGGTACTGGAGCAGAGGGAGTAGGGGGCACACGTGTGCCGGGATACCAACGGGAGTCATCAGGGTCCCGACCCTCGGTAGCGCTCGGTGTAGCCCAGCGCTGTCCGCTCACCCCATTTCCACCACTCGTGCCTCCCCGGGGACGACTGACTTCCCAGGGGTCCCTTTGAGCGCCCTCTGGGCGTCTGTCGGCACTAGCCTCCCACTTCGCGCGCGCTCCACCAGGCGCACCTCCGCCTCAAAGTGGCCTCCGGGGGCCCCGCCCCGAGCGCGCCCATACCGCCCCCCGGTGGCTGCCGACGGAGTCTCCCGGGCACCACTCCTGGCCCTGCGCCTCGCTG